CATTAAAATGCTCTGTGATCTGCACGTACAGCACTCAAAGTCTATTCACAGGACTGTGTACATGAATGCACAATAAATCTGCCATTGGAAACTCGGTGGTCATCGGTAAATGATCTGACACTTTCACGGAATTTACACGGCTATTGCTTTGGCCGTTCCAAGTACGTACCATTATTATTATTATTAGTCACACACCACAGTTCTCGTGGTTTTCTTTCCAGATTATATTTTTTCCGACGGACGGCAGAACATCAAATCACATTCTGTGATTTAAAAAAAACAGCTCTTAAAACAATGATTTTAGAGCCCTGCGTCAACCCGTTTGGCCGTAGACATTTGATTTAAGCTGGAATAACTCAATGAGCCGTGAAGCTCTTTTTTTCACGGGTGCCCAGCCTAAGCCAGGGCCGGCACTGGTGGAATATCGCACAGGAAGTTATGTGGAAGGATAATTCGAACAAAAGCTAAAATGTTACAAAGTAGACATCAATTAGACTTGCAAATTGCTGGATAAGTTCCCCCCCCCCCACCCTCATGTTGCCGTATTGCTTCGCCATACTTCACCACACTTGTCAGGGCGGGTTGGTGAAGGACGGGCCTGGGGCCGATTCAGAACACCACTCCCCGCTGATTTTAGCCATAAAACTCAGGTCACTGTGCTCGTAGTGCTAACCACTGCTCCGCCACACTCCACCCCAACGGTGGGAAATGGCCCAGGAGTGTGGGATATGCTACCGAACCGTAACTGTGTCTCTTCACGACGACCCTGATCTACAACAACGAATAATGAGCCTTGTATAATAATGAGCCTTGTATAATAAAATACTGTTAAACAGGACCCCACAGTCCCGATGGGGTGCTCTTGCCAATAACGTCTGGTAGCCAGCAACAATTTGTTAAAAAAAACCTGACGCTGCTGATGAGACCCAGAAAGTCGAAACTACTGCAGTCCAGACTGTGCTTGCTTACAACAATTATGCTGGCTAATAATGGTCTGCATAGTCAACAGGCTGAGTGACTAAAACACATTTTATTCACAGAATGGAGTACTACTCTTAGACGTACCCCGCAGGTAAGTGGCTTCAAATAACTAGGTTTACAATTCACTTCGCTGTGAAAATCGCACCTCCGATTAGCAAATTAATTAAGAACACTGTACATACATACAGTCCAACGTACATATTTGTATCTGCAACGAGGCGACGTGATGAGTGAGCGAGCTGGGCAATGGAAAGTTGTGAGCTGGGAATTATGGGTATCACCTGAGCGAATGCCACCCCCAGTACGTGCATCAGTGGCAGCCTCAATTCTCACGAGGGAGAGGGGGGTTGTGGGTGGGGGGATGAGAGCAGGGGGATAGCAAACCCCCACCCCCCTACGTTGTAAAAAAAAATGAGCCTTGTTACGCAAGTGACATTGTCCTCGATTTTACTTCTGTCTCTGCAGTCGCAGAAATGTACAAAAAAATACTCTAACGTACCATAGCACACGTCATAAAAATGCTTTAAACAAGGGTGTTAAACGTACAGTCTTTTTTTTTTAGGGGTGGCGGGGGGGAGCAGGGGTAGTGCTCATTTCCAGGAGGCAAGTTTTCCACCACAACCCGCCAGGGCGGTGCAAGCTGTGATTTGAGTAATGCACTTGCCGGGAAACTTTACCGTCATCAGCACGTACGCACGCATAGCGCCCGCCTATCCAGCACCCTCTCTCAAAACCCATAACTTTTATGGCGTATTTCTTAAGCCAACGTTTGCGTAAGGGAATGCCTCCTTGCAAACACGTATTCATTGTGCGTTTCCGGTCCTGCACGGGAGTGAATTCAGATAGTTTCTGTTGAACTCGGAGTGCGCACTACGGGTTGGCGATGCATTTAATAGTTTAGACACGATCCCTTTTCTAATAATGCATGGATCTGAAGTTCTGTGCGGTAGTTTAGCGGTTAGCGCTACGCTGCGCAATGAACCCGGCGATCCGGATTCGATTCCCGCTCATGGCCAACACCAGTGACGATGATCTAAACTGGTCTTGGGCCTCCCCTAGGTCGACTAAGCCTCAAATGAGTACCTGGTGCGATGTGTAAACATCGCCACTGAGGAGACAAAGGCGGTCGGGCGTGGTGCTGGCCACCCACCCACCCCCTCGTGTACTCTTCCGGCTTTCATAGGTGCTCGCTAACAGCACTTGCCCATACAGTCTGTTCAGGCTATATGGGGGATCTCTGGTTTTTTTAAATTATTTTTGAGTAGACTTGGTGGAGATTATGAAGGTGTTCTGGGAGGGTTGAGTGCAGTATTGTGGGTGCTGGATTTGAAACGAGCCACTACTCCCCAAGCAAAACGGATTCATATGAATATGTTGAACTTCTTTCGCACCAGAGGTAGCCAACTGTGCTAATCAGGGGTGTGGGGGAAGGACAACAAACTGAAGACAAAAAGCAGTTATAAAGAAAATTTGTTTTCAATCTAGATTTTAAAGCGCATAGCTCCAGTGGCTTTCTAATAACGGAAGAGCGTTTTCGTACAGGCACAGAAGCACATCTGAAAGCGTGCGATGCAGTGCTCGCTAAAAACTGAAAGCGTGCGATGCAGTGACCGTCTTTGTTTGATGGGCAGCCAAATGCCACTGTCGTGTGATGGATTTATTCCCTGCAAGTGTCATCTTGGATAATTTACTCTTCCTGCACCCTGCATTTTAGGTATTGAGGTTTCTCTGTGAATGTCACGTGACGTATTGTATTCTGAAATATATAGAGAGCAACGTTTGCAAATCTCACCGTCGCATATCTGACTGTCCCGTGGTTTCAGCATTTAACCGACCACAGCCAGTGGCAGTGTTTGTGGATGGTTTAACGGTCATTTTCTATAGATGTTAACATGTAGAACGATTTCATATATCCGTGTTCGTGTGGGATTTTTTACCACAAGCTCAGAGGCATCAATGGAGAATGACAGCCGCCCTGTCCTCTATTGAAGAAGAAGAAGAAGAGGAAGAGGAAGAAGAAGAAGAAGAGGAAGAGGAAGAGGAAGAAGAAGAAGAAGACACGACATTTTAAACTGTCAAATGGTTTCCGGATAGTCTGCCTTTATATTCACATGCTACTCAGCCAGATTTCATGAATACATTTAATTGATTCTCACTGTTTTTAAAATTTTGTAGGCAGACCCCGACTGGCCATAGGGGAGCAGTCCGGGCAAATGGTCGGTGGGCAGGTCCATTCCGAGGGCAGGTGGGCCGGTCTGTGTGGGGAAATTGAAAAATGTGATCAGAGGGAAACAAAAATGATATTAAAATATTTTAGTGCCTCGAATGCGTACACTTCATTGATAATTTATTCTTTCAGTTGGCATTAAGTCCCATATATTCGGCAGTCCCGAAGATTCTTCATCACCGGCCCATTTGTTTTTTGGACCCAGCGCAAATGGGCCAATTGTGTGCCAGTGGCTTCACCAAAATCCAGAATGTGAAATTTTTTGTCTCAAATGAATTTAAATATAATTTTATATGTAACTGTGGTTCCCTTGGTTTCAATTAACGATGGAGATAATGTATCCCGATGGACTCACATTTGATTAAGTAAAGGGCATTGGACTGCATTGTTTCACATTTCAAAATTATAGCGCACCACTTATTACATAAGGCTTGCCAAGCAAGAGTTATGTTCATTCTTTAATAACAACCTGATACATGTTGGCAAATAAGAAGGCAGCTTGCATCGCCATGTGTTTTTACTCATGTGTATAATACAATTTGCAATTAAACTTGAATATGGAAATAGCTCTATAGCTGTTATACATTACTTATCCTGGGGCAAGCTGCAGCGCTGTTAACATGACACATTCAAACTGAAAATAATAGTGTTTTGGGTTGTGTTATACGACCCTGGTAATTTTCAAGCAGCTGTGGTTGTAAGCCACTCGCCAAATTGTAAAAAAAATAAAAACAACACTGGCTTCCATTAATGACAACAGGAGCACGTGGTAAACCGTGCGTAACCTCAACGATTCTTTGTGTTCAAATCGTCTCCCTGCGTATGCACGATGAACGCATTTTGCCCGACAGTCGCAAAGCCGAGTCACTTCGCGTCGTTCGTAGACTGGACCCCACCAAAGTGTTGTGGAATTTTTTTTTTTACAATTGGCCCAGAGCCGCGTGTGTTTGACCACGGAAATCCCTTTGACCTGCAGTAATTATCGTAAATTGTGCGTGGGGAGTCAACACTGGCCATCCATGGAGAGGCTGGATACTTCAATAAAATACGTAGCATTTCCACTACTGTCTCAGTAAGATATGATTGCTGTGCCATTGCTTCATTGGAACAAAACAGACTCTTTGAATGCTTAATTTAAAATTGACCCAGAGAATTCTGAATGAGTCCCCAATCCTTTTAGGAAGGTCCCGCTTGGGATAATTTACCAATTTCATATTAACGCGTTTCCCTCAGTTACAAATGATCTCATCAGACCTCAGACTTTAAGCAGAGTTGAGTTTGGATAGCATTTGGATGAGAGACTACTGCAGCGATGTTGACATAGGCAGCGGCTACACTGTGTTACGCGCGGATCAGCACAGGGCAGTGCTGGAAAATATATTGTTGTACTGTACCTAAATGCTCCCGCATCTATGTTCAATCACGTTCACGCACCAGCATGGTAAAGTATGGTCAAACAATCTCCATAACCGACGTGGTAGGGAGAAGGCTGTTATCCAGCATTTGATTGAAAATAAAGTACGTGTACGTTTTTATTATTATTATTTGGGACCATTCTGTGTGTGTAGGCGTCTCTTGATTATTTGTGCAATCCTGACATGGTTCTTGCGGGGTTTTTCGAAACGTAATGTATTACTTCTGTGATGAGTTGTTGTCACCACAGTGTAGTCACCCTTCGTTTCATTTTGAATATCATTGCCGTGAAGTGTGATTTGAGCTGTGAAAACGCAGAGTAAGGGGTGCAAATGAGAAAATTAATCGACGATTAATGTTTTTGTTTCATGCCTTGCAGATAAGGTGCGGCGAAATCCTTACAACGACTACTTCCGAATCTTCAACTTTGATGTGACATCAATGGAAAAGAATGCCTCCAATCTGGTCAAGGCGGAATTTAGGATTCTACGCATTCCCAATTACCAAGCCAAGCAGAATGAACAGAGGATAGAGCTGTACCAGGTATGCCTTTGTCTCCACAAATGGACAAACGAATGAATGTGGAGATTCGTTTACAACAATCAAATAGCGAACGGGACATGGTGGAGGGGGTGTGCAGAACGACGATGCATTGCGCTACACTCCTTTAGACTCCTCCAAATTGTTGGTTACAGCACAATGGTAAAAAAAAAATGACGGTTCACAACGACTACGACGAGGATAATTGATGGTCGTGATTCATGATGATTGTTTATAATGATGATAGCGATGATGGTGATTTATCACGATGTTGATGGCGTTTTACAATGGTTTACAATGACGATGGTGGTAATGATGACTATGACGATGGTGATTCATGATGGCGGTAATGTATGATGATTATTATAATGACGGCAATGATTTATGATGATATCTAATGAAAATCAAGACGGTGATTTATGATGATGATGATGATGATGGTGAATTATGATAGTGGTATTTTATAATTATGCTTATAATGATTATTACTTTTTGAAACGACAACAATGATGATTTATAATGATTCACGATGACAAGTGATGATGGAGATTTACGATGATGATGATGATGATAATGATGATGACAATGATCCTGACGATAATGATTATTGTACCGTACAGCTGCTGGAGTTCAAGGACCCGGGGGCCCCTTCTCAGCGGTACATCGACAGCAAGGTGGTGCGGCCCAAGTCAGAGGAAGAGTGGCTCTCCTTTGACATCACCGACACCGTCTCTGAGTGGCTTCAGCACCGAGGTAAGAACCCTTGGTTCCTATTCTTGGTTCTTTCGGTAAAGTCACCACGTAGAAGGGAAACAACAAAATAATAATAAAAAAAATATATATAAAACGATGAAAATTCTCACGACGTTTCGACCGCAACACAAGCAATCATCATCATCAGGTGTGAAAACCACACCTGATGATGATGATGATGATTGCTTGTGTTGTGTTATTGTTTCCCTTTTACGTGACTTTACCGAAAGAGCCAAGAATATGAATTCCTGCAGTCACGAAAGCTTTAAATCAAAGCCTCGGTTCCCATGCGGTCGCTCACCGAGCGTGTTCTTCTCTGCCCAAGCTGTGACACGGAGGATATCCCGCACGTGTTTTCTGTTTGTGCCTCACGCTGATTGGGCACGCGTCGGGAGATTGTTGAAATGCGACAAGTGCAATGATTCACGATATTTTTTGTTTGTTTTAGGGGCCGTCCGTAAATGACGTCACGCACCTGGGGGTGGGGGGGGGTGGTCAGACATTTGTGACGATGTGTGACGATGTGGGGGGGGGGGGGGTTAGAAACGTGACGTCACATCAAAATGCGCAACTTTAAATAAATATAGACAACACGTTCTACTTAATTAAATAGACTTTTTAATGTTTTCTCATACAACATCAGAGTGCAGCGCCACATTAAATACGCACTACAATGACAATAGTTTAAAGCGATTTGAAGAATTTTTTTTTTGGGGGGGGGTGGCAGAGCTTTGTGACGTCATATTTTAGGGGGGGGTCTGACTTTTTGTGACGCCGCGTGACGAAGGGGATCAAAAATTGTCCAAAATCGCGTGACGTCATTTATGGACGACCCCTTAGGGGTCAGATCACATTAAGCGAAAGTGTCGTACACCCTTCTCCACCTGACACAGCCAATTAATAAAGTTGTTGCGTGATGAACAATCGTGACAATGTCTGACTGTTTCAGCACCACCGGTGCAGGTGGGCTACAGGCGGTGTGAAAGAAGTTCAACATACATACACTGAGAGCGATCCACAATGTTGTTCTTTCTTTCCACCGCACTGGTGACGCTGAAGCAGCAATGCATTGGCGCGATTGTTCACGTGACAACTATAATAATTGGCTGTATGTCTGTTTAACACGTAGGCTTTCGCGACCAATATTATTCAGTCATTTCTGTGACCAGTCACTAGCAAATCACCCAGTTATTTCAATGCTAAATTCGCCTAGTTATTTCAATGCTAAATTCTCCTGTTTGATTTGTACTAAGTGCCTCGGTGAATGTGTATGCTCTGACTTCAACGTAACTATTTCTGTAGCAGTTACAAGCGAATCACTCAGCCATTTCAATGCTAAATTCTATGCTAATCCCATTGTCAAGGGGTGCCTCTGCGGATGTGTATGCCTTAACTTAGCTATTTCAATGCTAAATTCTATGCTAATTCCTTTTAACAATGGGTGCCTCTGCGGATGTGTATGCTTTAACTTTTAACATAGCTATTTCTGTGACCAGTCACAAGCTAATCATTCAGCCATTTCAATGCTAAATTTTATGCTAATTCCTTCGTCAAGGCTCTTTGTTCCTCTCACACAGCTTAAAAGCCGTGATCTGAACGTGGCTCTCTCACTCCAGCGCTGTCCTACCAGACAGTCTCGCCCCCTTCACCTGATGAAGGCCGCTTGTGTTGTGGCCGAAACGTCGTGAGAATATTATTGTGTTATTTTATTTTATCAATTTATTATTTTATTCTCATTCTACGTGACTTTACCGAAAGAACCAAAGAAGATGAATATTATTCATAATAAACTTTTTTGGGTTAGATCGCGTTATTTATAAATGTGTCGTAACCCTCCATCACCTGACACGGCCAATCAGTAAAAAAAAAGTGTCACGTTGACAAAAGACAAATAGTTCACTACTTTAGCCCACCGGTGTGTTGAAGAGTGAATCCACAACATGTTTGTATGTATGCATATTGAACTTCTTTCGCACAGTACATAGTGAACCGTGCTAATCGCAGATGAGGGGGAAGGAGAGAATTGGCTGTTACGGGTGGAGGAGGCTTCACGATGCACATTCAACTCTCGCGACCGGACCCGATATTTACAAAAAATTTTGTATCACATTTGGTAACGTGTAAAAGTAAAACAAATTCAAGTCGAATGCGTTTCTTTGCTTGTTTTTTTGCCATTGACAGTGAAAAATCAGGGACTCAAGATCAGCATCCACTGCCCATGCTGTACCTTCGTCACAGCCACAAACAACATCGTCCCCAACAAGAGTGAGGAGCTTGCCGCTCGGTTCGCAGGTAACGGTGGAACGCAAGCAGCCATGGCAAATGAGACTCGTCCCTTGCCTCTTCAGTTCCCGCTCACCCAGTTACGTGAAATATAACTTGGGGCGCCGCGGTGGAGAGATGTTCACTACCTCGCCTAGTATGCAGGAGGTTCGTGGGTTCGATCCCGACCCTGACGCCCGTATATTACTCTCCCCTGACAGCACATTCTTGCCGATCTTTAAATGTTTTTTTCCGTTTCTATTGCACACACACACAGTGACCCATCCTCCGCACCCTCTACAATACAACAACATGCTGATCCCCCAGCTAATGTTCTGACTGTAACACCCTGCTGCTTCAACACTTTAACACAGCTATTTTTGATGTGTAAACTCCTTTGTCAAGGCGCCCTGCTCCTCCCACCGTCCCGACAGTTCTGTTCCTTCACCTGAAGGAGGCCACTTGTGTTGTGGCCGAAACGTCGTGATTTTTGTTGTTTTATTTTTTTACCTACGTGACTTTACCCAATTGAACCAAAGAGTTTGTGTGTCTCTCTCAGTGGTCGCGTGGATTTTTCTCCGGGTCCTCCGGTTTTCCCCTTCACATTTTAGAATCAACATCACGCGTTTAGAGTATTTGGCTGACGTACATTTGCACGTGATAAGCGACTTTGTTGGGCTATAATTTGTGGCCAGGTCGCATTTGAAAAAGAGCTTCGTGGGAATTACCTGGTTATATATACACACATAGTTCAATCGTTTAGTTTAAACTTTCAAGTTGTTCTCCTCAATGTTTCCGAGTTTGTGGTTTCGGAGATTGTACCGTTTCGTGCTGTGTGATGTCCAACGTTTCGCTTCGCCTACGAGGGAGCTTCTGCAGGAATTGAATTAGAAGCTCCCAGCACCAGCACGTGGGACGAAACGTCGGATGTCGTGCCGAACAACACCCGCTATGAACGCCGAAACACTTCGGAGAGCCGTACAGCACAACCCCAACAAAAAAAATAACCTACACGGTCACATTCAATTTGTGTATTCTTTTCACATTTTATTCATATTTACATGAGGCAAAATCAGTGTCCTTCAGGGAGTCTTTTGTGGCCCAACACAGGACACCAGAATCACGCTTTCGTGCTCCGTAGAGTTGTTCTCCACATCGATAATTCGACATAGTTGTGAATTTCATCTCTCAGAGTAATGCCAGTAGGAATCTCTCTCGAAACACCTTTTTTTATTGTTTACCGCTAATTGGCGGCCGGGTTTCCTTTATATTTTGCGCATATATCCCAGTTTCGCCTTCAGCACCTTCGGAGTTGGTAAAATGTGTGCGTCTTTGTGGGATGTGAATAGTGGCCATGCTATGGAAAGAGACCGGCCCTCGTCATGGGAATATGGAGGGTTAATAGCTGCCAAAGAGGATTGAGTCCTGCTTTCCACAGGAAGAAACTTTGACTATGAATAACTGTGAAAAATATCTTAGGCTGATGGTATAGAGCACATGTTGATATTAAAACAATTACTATCTGCCTATTCGCTCACCCTATGTCACTTACCTGTTGCCATGTCGAGACAATTATATATATATACAAGCATTGACCAGCGGCCAGCACTAATCAAACCAAATAAAGGGGCTCTCATTAAGCAAACAAATTGGGGCACGAGCAAACATCTAAAGAATTCCAGATACGGTTATATTAAAGTGCACATCACATATCCGACCCGCTGGGGACAATTGTGGTACATGTAAAATGTAAAGCACAAACTGCTTTACATGTGTAGGAAATGCTTGACAGTGCTTTAGAATGTATGGAGTCACTCATTTCTCAACCCTTTAACGCTCCTTCCACTCAAATCATTATATGATCTCGCCGTTTTTGTTTTACTGTTACGCGTCTTGATTGAAGGCACTTCATAAATATGAAATCGCATGAGATTACGGTGACAACTACCGTGCACAAGCATCGCATTGGTGTGAGAAATTCATTGGCCAGGGTGAATATGTGACGTGACAGTCGGATTTCCAATGCTCCACTCTATGATATTAATGTTTTTCATGATGATTCCGCTGTTGCTTATGTCCAGGAGCTGAATGCCAATGTCACGGTCTGATAGCCATGGACGGGAGGGCTTCACGGGAGAGCGTTTGTGCAAGTTTAATCTATTCCTCCTCCACTGCAGGAGCGCAGACTACAGTTACGATGATGATGATGATGAGTGTCGTACTCCTCAGGCATTGACGACGAGGTGGTGAGAGGGCCGGATGGCGGGCACCGACAGCAGCAGCAACAGCAGCAGCAGGGTCTGGTGCGGGGAGCGCACCTGTTGCTCATGATGCTGCCCTCGTATCGACTCGAGTCTCAGCCCCAGGGCAAGCGGCGCAAGCGTGCCCTCGACGCGGCCTACTGCTTCCGGTCTGTACCTGCCCGTTGCAATCACGTCACCCGTTGAGCCTCTTCCGTCCGTTGCGAGACGTCTGCAAGTTGCAAGGTGTAGCGCCGTTGTTTTTGAAGACATTGCACTCACCGCAGAGAACCGTGGTGACACGACCGGTAGCTGGTGCCAAACTGTGCCACACGCCCTCCCGCATGGTCTTGTAGAAGCCTCGGGTATCGATAAAGTTATGTTATATTAGTTTTTCCTTCGGTTCCGTTCCGATGACGTATATGTACGTACACGTACGTCATCATCATGAGAAAGGGTTAATTGACACACTCTCCTACGCCAACAACAACAACTGCCGTTCGCCACTAAGTGGTGGAGTCAGCATGGTACCTGCACCTGGCTAGGTGCAACTTGAGCCCATGTGAAGTGGCAGGAAGTCACGGGGCAAACTCAGGTTTTATGGGTACCTTGGGTTGGCTAAGATGACTGGCAAATACATCACCTGTGCTCCCCACTGTGCCAATTTGCTGCGTAGTAGTCAGCTGGAACTCCGCTTGTTGTTGTGAGTGTCGCCCCTCTGCCCTCCACTGTAGCTGGAGGGTGACTGCCTCTAACTGCCCAGGAGCTTTTTTCATGAGCCTCATTCACCCACCCACCCACACGTTTGTTCACTCACTCACTCCGTGAGACAGCCTACTGCTTACAGTCTGGACCTACAACAACGATCGCTCACTCATTAATTAGTACGCTGTATTACTCACCCAAATACTCAAGTGTTCACTCAATTACTCGCTCGCTCACCCATTTATACACTCACTCGAGCAGAACCATTCAATGACACGAGTGAAGGTATGAAGGCATGAAGTGCATGGGAACACTCAATTACTGGTTCACTCATTCACACGGCAATCTATTTCTCTCGACGAGCTCTACACGATGCGCTAATCAAAGTTTCAAAGTTGCGTTTCTTCTGCGCATCCGTCCTCGCTTGGGCGACACGACAACAGAATGATCCGCGCCAGGCGAGTCGCGGCGTTTTTGTGCGCGGTGGGACGGAGTCGCCAAAAATACATTCATTTATTACGATTTTGACTTCCGTTTATGTCGGGACCCAGGCGTCCCGACATCAGGTTCATTTGTTAAAGCGAGGAAACTGTTGACTCAAACTTCCAGGCTCTCATTAGCAGAGGCGAGGCAGGCTTGTTGAACAATTGCCACTCATTGGCTGACTCTTGACCGTGTTTGGCAAACAAAGTAAAAAAAAACACAATGTTTTTTTTCGCAACAGATCTTCAAGTATGTCTTGTTTTTCCACCGTTATACCGGCAGCTCTGCCATTTAAACATTTTACATGATTTTTTTTGCATGCCATCGTGAACAATTTTTCCCTCACATCAAGACACGGAAATATGCAGCATTTGCAATACTGTTGATTTTCAAGAAAACTGTTTTCTTGTGTAAATTTCCATTCTACCTACCTGTCATAAATCCACAGCAGTCATCTCATAGGTTGAATCTCTGCCATATGAATGTATAGATTCCTCCACTTTTCCTGAACCGCCGGTAATTTTGAGTACCACCCCTCCCCCCATAGCTGCTTTGCCTGTGCCCTCTCAATTATCTACTCACACGTGGCCACGATTACAATGTGGATCAGTTGCAACCATACGTATTTTTATACCAATATCAGAGTCTTACGTTCGAGGAAAACACAATTTGCCTGGCGCAAGCCATTGGTAATTAAACGGCGGCTTCGTTTCCCAACAAGACGAGGCCCTTCTGCGTTTCCAGCTTTTATCTCACGACGAAAAGGCCATGAACAACTGTACCCGGCAGCTGGCCCAGCTTGTTTCATTTGTCATAGTTGGGGGGGAGCAAAAATAACGGTGCATTTTGTGATAATACGCTCGTGCTAGGTGATTGCTACCTCCGATTAGCGTGCTCCGCACCTTCGATTAGCACGGTTGGCTATTTACGGTGCGAAAGACGTTCAACGTACATACATTACATCCCTCAATGTGGAGGGGGGTGGTGGTGGGGGGGGTGAAGGGTGATGTTGGGGTGGGGGAAGATACCCATTCCGTCAGAGCAACGAGGAACGCAAAGCAAATACAGCTTTGAAACCTGGGGGGGGGGGGAGAGGGGGGGGGGGACATTTTTAAATGCCACAAAACAGCAGCAATCGGAAGACCTCGGCGCATTTTTTTTTTTTAAACAAATAACGTCGGGGGGCATTCATTGTGCAGAAGCGGCGGGGTTTGAATATTTGCGCGACGGCGGTACGGGCGTGCCAGAAAGCACTTTAAACACTTCCAATGAAACAAGGATAACTTGAGGCAGATCAACGGACAGCATTCGGCTGAGTGCTCTTGACATCAAACGAGAACATTTTTTTTTGCTCGAGTAAAAAAAAACACTTATTTTCTCACTTTCACTGCATGCACTTTTTTTTATTGGCCTTCTGGGCATTGTGTTGGTATAGGAGGCCTTTGCTTCTGTGCAAATAAAACAGCCAAAACATTCAACGGAAACGCTTTTGCTTTATTTAATTGACTGTGTTTTTTTTTCTCTCTTTCCCCCTGCTTTGTTGAGTCTCGGCATTGCTGAAATACTTTGAACTCTCCGTCACCATGCTGGGAAAATTAAACATTGCAGGAATGGAAATTTGGGGTGGTGTCGTTTACTCCGACGCGGGGCTTCTTGCCAATGCATATGAAAGCCATTCTTAAAATTGTAAAACCGTAAAAATGCGTGGAATCCTGTTGCGATTCCACACCATTACCGTAAACTGTTGAAAATTGCTTTCGCATGCCTTTAGCCGGCAATGCCTGTCTCCCTTATAGGTGCTGCTGTGAGGCTGCTTGCATTGAACACATTGTGCCCCGTTGCTATTAAGTCTAATCAACTGTTGTGTATATAGGACAACACAACCATAATAGAGGTTGTTTGTTTTAGATCGCGTAAATATATAAATGTGTCGTTAAAACCCGCCACCACCCGACACAACGTGACTTTACCGGAAAAAAACTAAGAATATAGTAAGGGTTGTCACGTAAACAGAACGTGGCCAATTCGTCACTAGTACAGCACACCGGTGTGTTGGAGAGCCATGCCACAACATTACCATCTGAGTACGACGTTTCTACAGTAGTTACAACCAGCTTCATCAGGCGACAACCAGATGTGTGGAGAAGTATAACTGGTTCATTGAATTATGAAGATTTTGGCACAACGATACGATTTATGTTTAGCATTTATTGGACATCCCCGTATACTCGGACAAAAACGCAGGCCAACTAACACTTTCTCAAGGTATTTTTTACCAAAGTGCAGGAGGCACAAGAAGATCCACCACAGTATGGGCATAGTACCTCTTGAAATTCGAGTGTTTACATGATGGCCAGTAACATATATTTCATGTATTGGATCATCAAAGTCCACAACTCTTGCTTGATAACTTTCCATATACTATAGTAATCTATGATGAAGTGGTTAACACTTTAAGCTTCAAACACAGTGGCCTGGCATACCCTAGGACATACATCGCTTTGCACCTTTTATCGATTGTCATAACTAATCGTGAACTTGGTTGTGGTCTGACAGTGGAATAACTGCATCTGCCAGCAAGCCAGATGTCTGGGCGGTAAACCTAGGGTGATTACAGAACACTATGGATAGCATGTACACATTCGCACACGTAGCACGTAACGCAAATGAATACAGAACGACCGGACGATGTCCTGAGTGAAAGTTTCTCCTGCGCTGTCAAATCACAACCGCAGCAACGTCGAGGACAGCTGCTGTCTGCGCCAACTCTACATCGACTTCAGGAGGGACCTCGGCTGGAAGTGGATTCACGAGCCCCGCGGCTACCAGGCCAACTTCTGCGCCGGACCCTGCCCCTACCTTTGGAGCACCGACACCCAGCACAGCAAGGCAAGCAGGCGCCACGCAATCGCAGCACTGGCGCCACTTATGTCCCTGTCTATGTTGAACTTCTTTTTCGCACCGTGCATAGCCAACCGTGCTAATCGGAGGTGTGGGAGAAAAGCAAACTAATCAGAAAATGCAGTTTTAAGGAAATTAGTTTTAAATCTAGATTTAAAAGTCCATCGTTCCAGTGGCTTCCTAATATTGGAAGGAAGAGCGTTTCCAGACGGCCGCAGAAGCGCATCTGAAAGCGCACGATGCGGCAACCGTCTTTGTTCGATGGCTGAGCCAAAAGCCGCTGCGAGGATGACCGCAGTTCGCGTGATGCTTTATGCTCCTTGACAAGATCAGCAAGGTGTTGTGATTCAAAATTGTGGTTCAATTCCTTGCTGTGCACGATGGCATCTTCACCCGTGATATATTTTCTGGTTTGTTTAACGTGTAGACTTTCGCGACCAAAATGATCCACAATCGAGGTGTTTTTTGGGGTTGAATATTTACGCGATCTAACTCCAAAAAAATGTTTGTCGTAACTAATCGTGTTTTTTTGTATATGTTGGGGGGGGTAACCCGAGTTTCCGGCCGTGTGGTCGCGCAGGTGCTGAGCCTGTACAACACGCTGAACCCAGAGGCGTCCGTGTCGCCGTGCTGCGTACCGCAGGACCTGGAGCCGCTGCCCATCCTCTACTACGTCAACAAGACGCCCAAGGTGGAGCACCTCTCCAACATGGTGGTCAAGTCCTGCAAGTGCAGCTAGGCCACCGACCGAACCGACCGAGAAGCTTGCCGGGGCGAAAGGGGTTAAAGGTTGACTCAGGATGCCGACCTCTCTTTGCCCGAGATAAGGCGCGGGTTGGAGGCCTTGGTGCGGGTTGAACAAAGACTTGCCACGTGTTCTGTATGTGGCGCGTAACAAAACAAAAAAATTATTATTATATGAAAAAAAAGTAGATATAAAAAAAAAACTTGTGGCATCACCAAACGAGGTGCCGGTCTGCCCGCCACATTTGTGGGTGGACGCAGTGTGCGTCGGCGATATCGTGTGTGCTCCCGTGTGTGCACGCACGTGCTCTGAGCGTGCCTCGGTGGCGTTTCCACTTCGAGGTTAGCCGTATTTGTTTCGTGCGTGCGTGTGCTTTTAGTTTATGATCCTCTGGTCTTGGAACAATGCTTCTGAAAGCAGACATGATTGTTTATTAAACGCTCGGAGAGCGCTAGATTGTGGTAATCAATAAGCCCGTCTTCATCCGGCGTCGTGTGCTAAGCCAATTATTGCAGATGTTCACTTAAATTTTTTGCCGTATGACGATTCGGCCCGATCTTGCATGGGGACATCCATCATCTGTTTTTTTGTGTTCTGTGTCTACCTACGTCGTGATTGTGCGTACAGCAGCAGTTTTTCAAATCTGGTACTTGTTTGTACTTCTCTGAACACCAAGGCGATTTATTCAATAATCAGTCGAAACTAATGCCCGGTAAACATTTCTCAGATAATTTTGAGCCTAAACGTCAGCAGTGCACGTATCGTAGGGAGTTGCTTGAATTTACCATTCACATCACACGTGTGAGTGCACCTCTAATTACCCTGGTTGGCTACATATGGTGCATCTGACGAGGCTTCTCTGTGACGTATAAAATGGCTTAAGTATCTTGGGATTTTGCGAACCCTGAATAAATGCACAACCACAACACATTGAAAACGAGACCCATCCATTTCTGCTGTGTCCAATAGCAGCAAATGCGTCTAAGATATATTTACACCTTTGGCCTCTTGAGGTTACTGCCTGCATGATCCTATGTGGATCATAATTGTCCTTTAAATCCATTCAGTGAGTCTTTGAAATCCCCACAATCCGCTTCACTAGCTAGCAGTCGTCTTTACGCCTCTAAGCAGACACAAACAATCACTGACAATTGAGTGTAATCGTCTGTGCGTGAATCTAGATGCGTTTACGAAGCTAATGTTCACGTGGCAATGACTGTTGATGGGTGTGTTGTCATCTTCGTTTATGAAAGAACCATGTCCCTAATTGCGAGCCAGCTTTGCGGTGGTTATAATGAAATCCCCTTACATCATCATTATTTTACACGTTTTTATTCCCGACACAGAGATACAATGTCTCAAACCGCAGGCAAAGTGCCGCAAAACGCAAATTTTGACTCCACTCTGTGGCATCGTCGCATTAGCTGTGCTCTAATGCTCCGGTTCAGTTTGGCTGCATCTGTCTGCCCCGCTTGAATCGCACAGCACAAGGTCATTGAACTACGGCGCGTTGAAATGTTCCTTGTTGTTGTTGTTCGTGGCTATCTATCGTCAGCGCGCTCCCCTCGTGTTCCAATTTGAAGCGCGCCATTTGCTCATGTAGAGCCGTGTGGACGTAGATCGGTGCGGTCCGTGGCAGGGTTTTTGATATGCCACAGCCGAGTCTGCACAGAGGCTGGTTTTGTAAGTCGCCCGCCGTTGCGAGAGCACGCAAGCCGTTCGTTCATTTGACCGGATAACCTGCACATTATTAATGCAGAGCAATCACAAACTGTGTAACATCTGCCAGTCTCCATTGTGGGAAATACACCCGTGATTCAGGAACTCTTGCCAAAGGTTGTAGCAGTAATAGAGTGCAGATTGTTGTTTTGTATAGAAACTGGATGGCTTTATTTTATGCTGGAGGAATATTGTTTCATTTTTCCTTCTGTGGGTAACTCTGGGATCGAATGAATACCAGACCCTTTCGTTGTTTTAATAACATTTACATGAAGCAACCTTGATATTGCGGCAGTTTAGCACACACTTTTAATATGTTTCTGAGAGATGGGACTGTCTAATCATTTACTTTTCTGTGCATTAGCTTTAAACCTTGAGGGATGTTTTTTTTTGTAAATATATTTACTTTAAGTGTTTTTAGTTTAGTTTTTTCGTGGCTTTTTTTACACTGTACCTTTTCGGATTATATACAGTGTTGTAATATCTTTGGGAAACTCTGACTTAACATTTGTAACGTCTAGGGATATAATGATTTACCCCCTCGACTCGGAGGTGAATTATCATGATTCAGAATCACAATTTATTTGACCAATCTTTTTGTTTGCCTTTGCTATGCAAGTGAAATCTATAGTTATATGTATCTATAGACAATATAGTGGTATGGAAACTATACGCAAAAAAAATTCTTATTTGATTATTGAATAACTATATGCATACATTATAAGCATAGAATTTACATTGAATTTGATTATAATTTAATTTGATGTCTGATTAAGCGTCGATTGTGATTAATGAATCACTATCGCTGATAATGTCAATTCAAAGGTACAGGTGCTGGGGTTAAGCTCATCGACGTCAATGCTTGCCATGCAATTAATCCATCTGTGCTGCCTGGTATGAAATAAATGCCCGCTTGATGAATATAATTGCAACGGTCTCACCCCCATTGGCCTGATGAGTCGCAGTGTATGGAGCAGCTGTTACAGAAGGAACTAGCATGAGTCGGAGCGAGCGGGAGGGGGGGGTCCCAGTATAGCTGACATTGGCGCAATAAACATTGCAGTCGCGTTCCGAAGAGACAATAGCAAGAACTCACGTATTGTTCGTGCGAAATTGTAAAACTCGATGTAAACCGGAGAGTTCACGACAGCTGAAACCACGCAGCGCCCCACTCACTGCTTGCCTGCGGCTGTGGCCGTTAAGAGGGAGCCGTTGTTAGGGTTATTGAGGCCGAAATGATTTGCTGGGAATATATATATATTTTTTCTCTCAGTGTGCATTGTGCATAAGCTGTGTTTAACCTTGGCTTCTAATAATAGCTGACAGTTGTTTAAAAAAATAAAAACTTTTGAAAAATAAACTAAAAAACTAATTCAAATGCCTGCAAGGAGATGTGGCCTTAATCAAGTGAAATGGTAATAGTTGCTTAACAAATTACGTCCGTGTAATTTTTTACACGTAAAGTTAAGAGTGTGACGTTATAGTTGTTGGATAAGGATTTTTTTATGCTGAAATACGTTCAAGTACGTACGTATTTTGAACTTCATTTGCACCGTACGTAGCCAACCGTGATAATCGGAGGTGCGGTGGAAGGACAACAAACTAAACACAAAAAGCAGTTCTAAAGAAATGAGTTTTCAATCTAGCGCATAGCTCCAGTGGCTTCCTAATATCGGATAGAAGAGCGTTCCAGACGGCCGCAGGAGCGCATCAGAAAGCGCGCGACGCAGCGACATTCTTTGTTCGATGGCGGTCGCTGCATCGTGCGCTTTCAGATGCGCTTCTGTGGCCGTCTGGAATGCGCAAAAACGTTGTTCCAACTCGCGCTTGAATGCAGGGAGGTGAGCGTTTCTCCGCGTCCGTCCAGAACACGGGCGAATTCCATTCAACAAGAGACCGAATGTGCGAGTAGGTCAACACTCTTTAGAACGGGGAAGTGAAAGTAGGCATAGATTTGCACTATTATTTTTTGTTCGTTTAAGAAATCAATCTCGAGCATTGTGTTACATTTACGCTGTTTTATAAGTGCTATACTATAACTCATGAATAAAAACCAAAACGGTATAAGCATCTCCATGCTGAAATAAGCGTGGGGACATTTTTTTCTTCTGTTGACAGTCCTCAGCTAAAGTGGTGGAAAATCCACATTCGTATGGCAGGGTCAGTCTCGTACTGTACACGCAAAATTGGGCTTCTCGACAATGACACCGCAAGGTCGACGCGAGAGCGTTGATGTCTTTGTCGGATTGTTACTGAGTGTTGTTCGGCACCATGTCCGACGTTTCGCTGCACGTGGTTTGCTGGAACCTTTTTCAGGCGCATCATGCAGAACACGACACGTGGTGCAACCAAAACACACACCGGATGGCTATCTTTAACCAGCGCAACCATGTTGGGCAACAACACACACATTTGGGACAATACAAATAGTTGTACACGCACACAAATTCCTCCTGTTGTTGTGACAAAAATGAACAAATTTGCCATGATATATTTACTTGATCTCATAATTTCACCTGCCCAGGTGAAGACAATTATTGCCCAGGTTAACTGCTTGCCCCAGCAGGTCAGGTATTAACCAAATGGAACTTTTGGCACGCTGCCCATGACAATTAAGCATCTCTGAAGGACTGAATACACGGTCTCAAAATCCCTTCAACCTTACGGGCAAATGTTAGTGCAGATAAAGGGTTATGCATTTGCGAGGGGGCATTTAAGATGCTCTTGCCACACTGAGACAACTGCCACTTCGCAATCGACCCATCCGTGTGCTGTAATTGTAATTAGATTATCAAGGCAGATATTAGTAATTCAATTTCACTCGATGTTTAACACTTGTATTCGGGGTTTAACAATTGCTCTGAAAAAAGCAGCTTATTATTTTTTTTTCGGAAAATCATACGATGACATTTAAATTGGAATGCAAGGGCAATTAGTCGTTAATGCGTATGAATAATGCGACAAGTACTGCAGGCTGCGCACCACACTGTGGTTATTTTCCAACAGTCGACACACGTTTTTTTTTTAAAGCAATCGTTAACAGTTATCAGATTACTTTGAACGTACAAAATACAGGATTAAAATGTGTAATAATTGAGTAACCAGTAACCAAGTAATTCTCTCCAGCAATTTGCTACTGCGGCTTACCCGATTTGTATCAGTGAAGGCAACGCCTGCTCCAACTGTTTGATCAATTAATTTTCACATCGTTGTATTCTTGTACCATGTATAATCGGGTGTAATTTTGAAGGGAGCGATAAGGAAACTGGGGTCGGGGGTGGGGGAAGGATTTTAGCAGTTGTCAGCACTGAGTTGCTGACAACTGCCGAATGGCTCACAGGGCTATACCAAATAAATTGAACAATGAAAATAAATGGAACTATGAGGTATTCGTTGAAAAGTTTAAGACATCCGTCCGATTGCGAATGACGATCTGTTTGGAGCAGGTTCTAGAGATCAATGTGTGTCTACGGCGCAGCAGCTGCACGACCCGGTGGAGGGCAGGGAGCGTTGGGCAGTGACGAGGAGATGGTGGTGTTGGTGGCATCATTAGCTTTGGCCTACCAATGACATCTTCATCTCTGAATATGCTATGTTGGCAGTTGTCCGTTATGCTGCGTTGTAAGCTTTAGATGTGTCAACCTATCACCGCGTGCCTTAAATGTCAAACCCATTGTCGTTTTTCAATATGCATTTATTTTTTAAGAGTACCATTGTGGTGTATTGCACTGCCCATGGTATTAAAAGTTAAATGTTGAGCCTAGGGATATGCCAGGCTATGTTTAGAGGTGTTTATCTAAATCTTATGTATCCGTACCACTGCAGTAATGTTAATGAGCTATAGGTCGTTTGAAGGGTGTATATCCTATTGTAATACAGAGCTGTCGTAAAAGTTTGACGCAATTTTGGCTTCACGTGAACATTTTAACATCGCTTGACCTGGTGTTTTGTCGAGGTGACGGTTTTAGTTTGACTGCAGCTCAGTTTTACTGGCATTGCTGCCACAATGAAAAATCAATTAGAGTGCAGGTATAAAGAGTTGCTTCAACATCACAGTACAATCTGGTCGCCACAAGTTTAGGTTTGACCCAGTAGATTCATGTCCTGCATGCGAGAATTAAAGCCAGACAACAATATGTCTCTGTGTGGAAATATAACTCGGTTTAACTGAAATATAAAACAAGGTATTTGATTTCACACAGTGTCTGTACGTGTGTGTGAGCTACAAACCCTGCGACCCGAGTTCTATTCCTGCTGACGGCCAACACCAGTGACGAATATCTGAGCCGGTCCTGGGCCTCCCCTAGGTCGACTCAGCCTCACATGAGTATCCGGTGAGATGTGCAAACATCGCCACTCGGGAAACAAAGGCAGCCGGGTGTGGTGTTGACCACTCACCACCTCGTGTGCCACGCCGACCTTCATAGATGGTCACTAACAGCACTTGCCCCAACAGTCTGTAAATGCTATATGGGGGAATTCCTGTCTTTGTGTGTGATACATACAATTTGCGTGTAGTTGCATTTGTATTTTATTTGTGATTGCACAGTGAAGTATTTTACAGCTGTTGTGGAACAGAGGTAGATAGAATATGTGATGACATCAGACAGAAAGACAAGAAGATTTGAAACATCTGTAGCAAGTGTCGAGTGCTGTGATTGCGACCATGTTTTGCATGTGCATGGCAACTTGCAGTTGTCCTTTTGGGAGTTTTCTGCATGGGTGGCTTAGTAATCAGTGTATTGATTTGACAATTCATTTCATATCCTTATGATAATGCAATTATTTATGCATCGTTTAGGATCGCATGGACAAAGGGCAATGCTTCTTCGACATTTTTTTACAAATAAGAGCTTGAAGAAGGAAGGTTTAGTGAGAATGGAGGCTTTTAGTTGGTGCCACGGTGGCGAGATGTTAACTACCTCGCCTGATATGCAGGAGCTCGTGGGCTCGATCCCGACCCTGATGCCTGTATATTTGGAGTTTACGTTTTCTCCCCATGGTCGTGTGGATTTTTCTCCGGGTCCTCCGGGTTTTCCCTCCACATTTAAAATCATGCGTTTCGAGTATTTGGCTGCTAAACATGTCCACGTGATAAGCCACCATTTGTGGTCAGGTCGCTTCTGAAAACGAGCTACATATCTCAGTGGGCCTTACCTGGTAAAATATAATAGTGTACAAAGTTTCGGAAACCATGCTCATATAGACCAGGCTGTCGGTCACTTGTATAATACATTTTTTTGCATCAACTTACACAGACGTGTGAACAAATTCCGACACCTAATAGAATTAAACTAGATTGAAAAAAAATTACAACTGTTAAAAATAGCACGCCAATTTAATGTTCGTTATTTGCTTATTTTTTTGGTTAATTTACATTTTTTTTACATGTGAAGTATTGGTTTTATATTTGTTACACTGCATTGGGATTTCAGTCACAAAATGTGCTTATAGACCGATCAGATTTAACAGTCCTATATACGCTTAAGCCATTTATAAAACAAACAAAAAATATGCCTGGATGTGTTGTGCCTGTGTATGGAGATAACCGAGTCCTCTGCAATAGAAATGTGGAATTTTCACACTCATTTGAGCAGGGAGATACTTTCGACAATTCGCATTATACCTGGTATATATCCTTCGAGCAATCATTGTAAAAATTCATGACAGGTCACATCACGAATTATAGATTAAAAATTAAGAGTACATTTTTGATCACTGAATTACATCACGCGGTAACAACTGTACGGCTGTAGCATGCAGCCAGACACGGTAAATAAATAGTCCCCGTTCATTTTATGTTGACTTTTTTCACTTTAAAACATAGTCCCGACATCTTAGCGGTCTTAAGTCTCGTACACCAAATTCTAAACCTACCTCTAAATCCTGCCATTGACCCGGCAGCAGCTTAAATAACTCAGCCCTG